CATACTCTAAAGTGCCAGATAGCTGCATTCAGAGAAATGTCCAATGGTTATAGAAAGGACGCCTCCAGTTTGAAATGACTGCATTTTAACTGCCAGACAAGCAGTGACTGGTGACCCAAGTAACACATTTCAAATAATTTATCTAACAATTGACTAGATATAATCTAGATTATAAAACTTTATGAGTTATCAACTAGGCAATAACTGTTTTCACCTAAAACTTTAATAAAATAAAATTTCAACATTATTGTATTACAATAACTTTACAAGAATTGTATTACTATTCCTTACTAATTAGATACAAAAATAATAATGTTTTATGAACAAGAATTCTTTTTGTTAAATACTCTAACCACCCATTCGATTTTTTTGTTAACTGTTTTTAAGGTGGTTTGATTATGGGCCAGGGAATCGAGTCGTCTTCTCATGCAGTGGGATTGTTCCAACACATTTGCCTCTCGTACGAGATAGTCCTGGCAGATGGAAGTATGGTTAGATGCTCAAAAGTGAGTAGCTTTTTTCAGTTTTTGCCCCTTGTAGAATATTGGAGTGGGCATTTGAATACAACGAACATGACAACCAAGAATAAATGTAAACAGCTTTTAAACTCAAACACTTTGTACCTTATCTTATGTTTTAAACTCAGGGAAAACAACATACTGCACAGGGCAATTTTTTCTGCTACCCAATTAATAAATCATCTAATTTACCTATGTTTAGGTTTATAAAATTTACTTTACCTTTTCAGGATGAAGACCCAGATTTGTTTTATGCCATACCTTGGTCATATGGGACACTGGGATTCCTAACTGCTGTGGAACTTCGGATCACACCAGCAAAAAGGTAAATGAACTTTAATTTGTGGTAACTACTTCTACGAAGCTAAAAGGAAAAGATAAAGATAATACTGTGCCATAAGTATTTAAATGTTATACTACTCGCAAGAGAGCGAGGTGGTCTAGTGGTAAAGACCTCGGTTCACAAGGTCCCCGGTTCAAATCCTGCCAATATCCAATGAATTGATCTAAGTAATAAGGCCGCAAAATTGTAGGTCTAGCCAGAAGTAATGTGTAAAACAGTGTCTAGTGTCCTAGTATGTGAAGGTCAGACATGAGAAAGAATAAAAAATTACATGCGTTATTATAGCATGGGCAATTGAAGCTAAAATGCAGTACAACTCCAACCATACAAATCAATTGGGACCACACAACATTTGGACAATTTAATTTTCACCAAAATTCATAGCATTTTACACCAAATACGCAGTCTAGCAGAGATTTTACTATGGCAATTGCAAAACGCATTATGCCAAGAAATCAATCTTCACACTCTGCAATTGCAAAAATTTGACGAGTTTGCACGATTGCAGGAGTCGATGATGATATCTACACGGCCGTGGGATGTATTTAAAATTTTGCGGTAATCACAGAAGACGATATTTCCGTGACCATGGAAGACGATGATGGTGTCTACAGGACAGCAGGAGATGTGCAAGATTTTTTCGCGATTGTGGAAAAATGGTTATGGCATTTCTGCGAGCACGGGAGACAATGATAATGTCTACATAACTGTGAGAGTGGTTTTCGGTTTTGCTGCAATCATGGCATCTGCCGTTTACTGCAGTTTAAGTTTTTTTTTTTCTGTAAGTGATTCGCATGGCTGGAGTTCTACTGTAGTTTAAAATAATGATTTGATTTTACAGTCAAAAATTCTTGGACTCTTAAGCAACTGACTCTCTCAATAAGACAAATTTTTTTATGTACAATCTGTCGCTGTATGACCTTACCCATAAAGATTAATTTTAAGACTTGAATCAACCTGATTCCAAAGCGGATACAAATGCAGCCCAACTTAGCAATTTTTTTCTTCAACTTCAACATCAAGTAAATCAAAAGAAAACATTGAAAACCAATATTTCTAAATTTGCTCAAGCAGAAATTTGTATGAGCTGTCGTTTATGATTTAAATAAACTTAAAATGCGGCAAATTAGGGAGTAATCATTTCTTTCCTCCAAAATTGAAATGAGTTGCGTATTTATGGTTTTTTTTATTTCACTAGCTTATTTTGTTTCTCTAACCATTAACAATCCATCCTAAGGCATTGAGTTATCTAATTAGTAAATGATCATTATAGAATCAACCGTCTTGAATTAAAAATGTATTAGCTAAAATCTTTTACAAAGTTGAAAAGGTGTAATCTAGACATTTACGTTTTAGGTTTGTGAAGTTGAAGTATGAGCCTTTCTACTCACTTGACGAGGGAGTTGCAATGTGTGAAGCTCGATCAAAAGACAAAAATAAGAATCAGTTTGTGGAAGGAATCATGTTTGACAAGAATCAAGGAGTAATAATGACTGGGTCTATGGTTGATGACGGAACTAATGTAAGTAGTGTTGTTTAATTTGAATTTTACACAGTTGTTTTGTTTTTTTTCTCTGAATCCTATGTGATATACCTAACTATACGTAAGACGGGAAAAAAGCTAAGATAGAGTTTGGTCAGTTAAAAATAACTTACTAATGATAACAACTTCTGTATTATACTTCCTGATTCAAACTATGAAAACAATGTTATGATTATTTAACTATTATTTTTTGACACAAGTATCAGGGTCTGAAACTGTGAACTGATATTTCATATTCAGGCTAACTAATAATACTACTTACTACTTTAAAGTTTTAGCAGTTTTTAGTCATACAAATTTTTGTTTGGTCGGCATGTTGTTCACATCAGGATGGGATTATGGAGGAAGGAAACCAAATAGTTTATATTATTTATTACTTTACACAAAAACAGAAAATAAACATCTAATGAACTGTAATTTTACTCTTAAGGTAAACGCGATTGGAAGGTGGTACAAACCATGGTTTTATGAACACGTACGAAGCTTTCTAACAAGAGGCGAGATGGAAGAGTGTATCCCATTGAGGGATTACTACCATCGACACACAAAAGCACTGTTCTGGGAGTTGCAGGTAAAATTGCATTGTAGATATAATGTCAGTATTGAAACAAATTAAACAATTTCCTGGAAACATTGAATAAGAATTGAGTTGAAAGAAGAATTGCTTGTGTCTACGCTAGAACAGCATTTTCCCAATGGAGTAAACTCCAAATGTTTTAAAGGAAAAGCGGTCCATACCCATTAAATTTTAAATTATGCACGAGTATATTTTCAGTTCTATAATTACAAATTTATCAAAATATAACAAATGCAACCTCACTATTATCGTATTATTACAGCCCAAACACTCAAAACAGTAAATATTTAGCTATACTGTGTGTAAATTTAGAAAATTTTTACCTTGTTTAGTTATTACCATAGACATATAGACCGTCAGCTGTGCTGCGGTTAGCATAAGTTCTGGCGTCCACCACTAGGTTTGCCGTGTAGTTACGGCGCACACCGCTGCAGCGTCTGCTGGTAGCATACGGCTCCTCGCCTGCAGCGGAACCTTCCTTTGACAGTCTATATTTATTCTATTTGTCTATGTTATTTCTAGGAAAATTAATATGCTCTTGGTATTTCTGTAATTAAAAAAGGCTTTAGCTAAAGATTTACACCTAACAACAATAAAAAACATTTCAGCATATAGAGATACACAAAAAAATTGTGTCCATTGTTGGTTTGGTAAATCTTTGCTCACAAGCACTCCCGGTGATTCAGTTAAGTTGACAAAACTATTAATATGTATCTTATTGACCACTTCTGTTTGTAGGATATAGTTCCATTTGGCAACAATCTGTTCTTCAGATGGATTCTTGGATGGGCAATGCCTCCAAAAATATCATTCTTGAAGCGAACACAAACTAAGGTGATAAAGGATTTGTACGACAAGCACCACGTGGTTCAAGACCTTATCATCCCTATACAGCTTTTGAAAAAGTCTCTGCTTTTCTTCGACAAAGAAATCAACGTACGTACCAGAATCTCCACATTTTATATTTCTAAATTAATTAGAAAGGTTGGCGGATTTTCAAACTAACCTCTCCTCACTAACTATATTCAATTCAGTTAGTCATTGGGAACTTTGAGGATTACGGACGGTTTTGTGTGTCCAGGTTTACCCAATCTGGTTGTGCCCTGCTCTGCTACCTAATGACCCCGGATTAGTACACTCTTACTCCGACACACCACATCTGTACGTGGACATCGGGTTGTACGGAACGCCCAACGCACCACATTACGAATGTGTCCAGTCTACCAGGGCAATAGAACATTTCACCATTCAAAACAAAGGGTGAGCGAGCACTTCATAGTAAATGTGATTTAAATAATGCTGGTTTTCATTAAATTGTTGATAAATGAGAAATTTTATGAAAATAGGAACAGCAGCTTCATTTATTGACCAGGCATATTATTGATGACAAAACACAAATTCTTAATGAGAAAAAATATGATTCAAATCGAACAAGGTTACTTTCGTTAACAACATATGGCAAAAACCAATATATATTGGATTTAGTTAGTACATAATACATTAGAGTAATTGAATTATTACTTTTATACTACTGATATACTGAAATACTTTAAATCTGAAGAGATACATAGAATTCTTTAAATAATTCTTAATAATGACTGCATTTTATGGTTTCAGGTATCAGATGATGTATGCTGGAACATTCTGCGATGAGGAAGAATTTTCCAAAATGTTTGATTTGAGCCTATACAACAGGGTTCGTGAAAGATTGAAATGTGACAAGGCTTTTCCACATATCTTTGGGAAGATAAATAGAAAAGTACGAAACTAAAACCCAATGTTTGTATCCAAAAAGCTATTAAATACATTTTTTAAAATAACAACTTCCTATTATCTTACTCCTGCTTAATGAAAGCAAGTGTCACAATATTGTCACATAACATAGAATGTTATTTTGCATCATTATGAAGATAAAAAAAACCCTGAATCTCAAACCTAACTGATAAGATTATTGATCGTATAACTAATTCAAATTTACCTGCTCCCAAATTTCAGAAGGAAAAGGAATAATAAGAGTCATTAAGAGTGTACAACCTATATATATAATAATTTCGTATAAATAATAAATATTTAAGCTTAACACAATAATATTTTATCGATAATGAAGCTAAAATCGATGAATCGAAAAACGATAGGTGATGAACGTTTACATTTACATTACTAAAAATGTACAATAATAAAAAAATCATAGATTATTAACAGTAACAATATCGACGCCACACGAGTCCACTCGATGACGTTTTAGTCCACAAACTCAGCACTTTTAAAACTCCTAGTTGTCCAGAGTCTTTTTATGACAGCGATGTCATACGTTGCTGGAAAATCTCGAGATGATCCTTGGCTTTTGTTCGAGTCGAGGTGTCGTCTCGAGATTCGCCGGCTATATATCTATTTATAAATATAAACATTCAATATTCCAATATACAAAGAGGTGTGCGGAGGTGGGGGTGGGGCTATGAGGCGGGCCGATGCTTGCCACCACAGAGTCCGCAGGAGACGCAGCAAAAGTGACAGGCTCTTAGTGGTGGGTAGCACCACAGACACGGCACCAGTATGGACAGCAGGGCCAGCGCCAGCCACCTACAAAATAGTACCACGCTTTATCACCGTGGGACGAGGGTGTGAGGGAAACATCTAAAGGATCACTTAGCAATTTTATTTTTCATGATGGAATGGCCTCTGGATCGCCTGAATGAACTAATATAGGTAGGAATTATATACATAGGAATGACGATTGTCTCTGTGACGTCATTGGAACTGTTAGTACGAGCAAGTGAAATAACACTTTTTGTGTTTTCCTATTACAGTGACCAGACTTAAATATCGTTGATAAGAAAGTTAGGTGACAAAAATAATGGTATTATTTCACCAATTAATTTGGATTTGATTTGTACAACATCAAGTGGAACAACATTCTGGTACCTTTCTTGTGTAAAGATAAAAATATTGGCATAAATAGGTACTAATCACATTAAACAGTTCCGTAACCTGATTTTTTGCAAATCAAGCACTGCCTATTATCGAAAAGCTAAGGAATATTCCAGACTGTTATTGAAAAATAATGGTATTTCCCATCTCTAATAGACATCTCATTGCTATGCCCAGGTTGTTGAATTGAACAATTAACAGTGTGTTGCTGTCAACAACTGAGTAATAAATAATCTTAATGAAAGAGTAACTGATTGCAAACTAGAAGAAATTTGTAGTTAGATCATTTTTATCCACTTGTTATTCTATTTATAAAGTGCCCACACATGTTTTTATAATGCTTGCCGCTGTAACACAGTCAGAACCTTACCTTCTACCACAGCCGATGCTACACTCGCAGGGTTCGTCCTGCAATACACGCTGCGCCAGACACAGACACGCTGCAGTCTCTATGGTAGTCTTGACAGGATCTGGTGCGTACGGACACGCACCTCGCACATTGGTCTCACTGGAGTACGGTTCCTGAGGTGAGAAACTAAAATTAACTTCTGTAGCCTGCTAAAGTAGAGGTCGTGCGTTTCTTGGTGAAGCCTGGGGGTAGGGTTGAAGCCCATACAAAACCGGTTTAGAGCCACTCTAACCACCCACCCCCCAGGCTTCACCAAGAAACGCACGAACTCTATGTTGTACTAAAAATACGCATTCGTCCTTGACCAGGCACATAGAAAAATAAACCTTTGAATAGCGAAATAGTAGCTCTGATTAAAAAGTTCTTATCTTAATCATAAGTAGGCCTACAAAGGTTATATGTATATAAAATTAAGTACCGGGGGACCGAGCCTTGCTCGGTTGTTGGAAACTATTCATTGGTTCCATTTTCGGGAAAAATTTTGGTACAAAAAAATATAGTTTAATACATGCAGTGAAAAAGATATGCGGTAACTGGGACAATCAGTATAAAAATATCTATTGAATGTCAATTTTCCTAATTGTTTTAATATGGCAAAAAAGTGATACAACGGAGAAAACCCTTATTGTATTAGGGATATCGATTTTTGCCCAGCTTAGATCCTGTAGCTGTACGTCAGAGTGGGGGAGAACCCACAATGTATGGGATGTTTAGTGGGGCATGTTTGTGCTTTATTTTATTTTATTTTTTGTTGGAGGGAGTTCTACGAGTTTTCTTACCTGGCAGTGTCTGCACCGTTCTTTCCGTTTATTCGGTAGTGTGAGTTGAGCTCGTTTCTTGAGGCTCCCCTCCCCCTCCACCACAGGGTACATGTAGTCATGGACTGTCGTGAGCTGAACGTACGAGTAGCTCTCAGGCTCGGGTATGGTGGGGGGAGGAGCGGGGATGGGCTTGCCACCTCCACTGCTGTCCGACGACGAACGTGAATCCCCCCGCTCAGCAGGCAGATTCAGTGTCTGACAAAAACATTAATTATTGTAACACACATAATTAATTAATAGCCAAATATAGTGTCTAGCATTGTATAATGAAGGAATTAAATTCTATAAAAATATAAATAATAAAAAATTATTACCCAAATTTTGTGTTTTCTAGCATGATTGGCCCTGTTTGCTTAGAAACATATTTCAATAGTCATTGAAAATTTTTCTTTGGTTCCATTTTCGGGATATACATTAGTATTAGTAATTTTTGGTACAAAAAAATATATTACCGGTATAATACATGCAGTGAATAAATAATAGTAGGTACCCAACCTAACATAACTGCCGAAGTAAAAAAATACAATTATTTTATGTTTACAAATATATTTATGATAACCCATATCATAAATACGTTTGTAGGACTTTCCTCGTTTCGTTATGAATCGAACAATATCAGATGAGTCATACTTTCTATTTATGATAACCCTACCTACCATAACCGCCGCAGCGCGCTGTATAAGGGTGGACTCCGTATAATACCAAAAAAAGTTAAAGCAACTTAACAATCTTCAACTTTTTGTAAAGAAAAAACTCTAAAGTCACAGATCAAACATCAAAAACTATACTTACCATAAATACATCGTCGTCTCCTACATCTGGAATACATCGAGGGATTCCATGAATTCCTGGAATCAATAAACAAATAGGTCAATCTTAAAGCCAAAAATTGAGTTTTAACCATCAGTTAGGTTCTAATTACTTTTTGGTTTTATTTTACCTGTCAAATAGTAACAGTATTTATCAACACTTGGGCTAATTGCTATCTTGGGCTAATAGAGATATCTTTTCAACGATCCAACAAAAACGTTATTAAATACCGTACTAACTTTGCTTTTAAAATAGACATGTAACAGAAATTCTTACTTTTTTGTGATGGGCTCTATAAGCCACGATTTGGAATTTTTGAGGGGTAGAGCAAGCTTATCTTTGTTCAGGATGAGTTCACACTATGAATAAAAGATTATATAAAATAATAACACAAACAAAGTCATAGACAGTAACTTTACTTCAAAATATTTTAATTTCCTTGAATTACTGTTCAGGCTAGCAAACAGAAATCCTACAAAAAAGTAGGTGGATTGGAAGTCTTAGGACGGGTTTATAACTTTAAGAGATAATCGAAAACAAAAAGAGATATCTTAACCAAATTTGGCATATCATTACTGGTAATAGTAAGCTACTAACTTTATTGTGTATACATGACATGCAAAATTTGGTTGTAATATCTCTTTTAGTTTTAAAGTTATAAAGTCGTCCTAAGACGTAATTGTCACCCTGTATATTTTATGGAGACAATAATTATAGTAAACTTTAGAAATACTAAATAAACAACTCAAAATGTTGACATAACAAACTGCACAATGGTTTCATTCTTTAACATAACGTTCTTTTAAATACTTACAAAGATGATGTCACCATAAGCAGCATAGGATAAGAACAAAATAAATTTATTATATAAATTTGAACTCCTAAACATTACCCTTAATTGTTCAAGTTCAAGCTAAAAGCATGTAGTTGTGTTGCTTACGATATGATAGTGTAGCAAAGAGTTTAAAAAATATTGAGAGGGAAGCGAACAATAAGCAATTATAATAATAATATAAGTCCTTGCACTACAAGATTTGGTCAAATACTTATTACACAAGATTATAAAAAAATTAATAGAATTACAGTAGAGGGTCGATTATCCTAAACAATTGGGGATTGAAGGTGTTTTCATAGCTTATTATTTTTTTGGATAATGGGTCATTGGCAGTAAAAAATTAGATGGCCTAGCCTACATTATTTTGACTTTGATTGATTACATTTAAATACATTTTTACTGGTTTTGATTGTCTACTGCGATTGTAGCAACATTCGTGAGCATATCTCGTGGACTCAGCAACAGAGGTTATTGTACTGGTACGTGATCATGGCAACATCTGTGAGAATTAGCGACGCCACTGATCTTCTCTCGCAACGGCAGCAACACCGGTGATCCAGACTTCTGGTTAACCAACGTTTCAGATGACCGGGCTTTGGATAATCGACGCTCTACTGTATAGATAATTAATAGGCCTAAGTAAAACTCTGTAATTTTTCAACATAGTTGATCTTTTTAAACTTTGGTTTTAGTTTGAAGTTATAGGGGCTGACAAAAAAAAATCTTTTTTTTATAATTTCACTGATGGAAAATATTGTTATTGTTTGATGTTTTTATTTTTTTTGGTAACCCTCTACTTAATCTATTACTTGGTTTATCCTGGCAATTAGATGCTCCTAAAACTGGGAAGTCCTGTAAAGTTGGGGAAGTAGTCTTCACTGGATGGTGTAGGATAAGGTCAAGAGTTGCGTTACCAAATAAACCACTGCAAGTAAAATCATAGACTAACCAATACAAGTACACTTCTCATCACATTGTAAATATTGAAGCTCGTTTCGTGTCTAGTTGATGTCCGGTTGACACTGATTGCTAGTGTCGACGAAATTCTGTTTCTATAATTTTAGGGTTAATTTTATGATTAGTGATTTTGTGTGGTTATGCCTAACTAGGGGATGAGTTTTATGCAATATATTGTTTTATTTTGTTAAAGAGGTTTTAAATTATTGAAATAACAAGAAAATTGTAAACAAAACACAACTTCTACAGAGCACCAGACACAATAAAATTGGCTTCAGCTTTTCCATAAGAATGAGAAATCTACTAACGGAGTCTGTTTTATGTTTTATCCATGGTAAAATTAAAGCAATCCACAACATCCAACTGAATTAGTATTTTCAAACCAGTTTAATTTTAATAAATGAGACAACCAATTTTCAGCAAGGTTTAATTTCTGTTTTAACATACTTGCATTCTGACAAAACAAGGACTTTGTAGAGCAAGCAATACTTGTATGTATGGAGATTTCTAACTCTTTCCATTTTGTGGGAGAAACAAAATGTAGAGATTAAACAGACCTTCGATGAGTTCCTCAACGGCTGTCCGAACTCCTTTGTCGAAGGCTCGAGCATCTGCCGCTGTTTGAAATGTTAGTCCAAACTTCTTGTCACCTGTTTTCCAATGGTGAAACGTTGGCATAACCTTGTTGTACTCAAAGTCTTTCTTAATTATACAACTTAATACAACCTGAAATAATACATAAGTAGATCAAACAATGATATTTATATGCTTTGACGTAGCTCGATGGCTTAGGTCTATAACAGGATATAAAACAAGAAAAGGGTATGTGTCAATGTTTCAGTCAGGCAATAGGAAGAGCAACAAAAATAGCAAAAAAACAATTGAAATTCTAAATTTGAATCAATCATCAAACTTCTAAATTTGATCCTTTACAATCTTAAAAACTCAAACTCTTTATTCCTCTTAAAAGAATCTTTCTATTCCAGCGCAGTTGCTGAAATAAGAAACTTCAGTAACTTAGAGCCTATTCTTGTACAAGTAGGAACAGAGAAGCAAGATACAGAGGAAACAATTGAATGGTACACACACATAAAAGGTGAATAACCCTAGGGGAGAGAACAGGTCTAGTAGTAGAGCACGGAGCTTCGGAGCTCAAGGTCCCGGGTTTAAATTCCGCCAATTACCAATGGAGTTTATCCTTGTGATAATGCCGCAACTCTCTAGGACTAGTATGGAATAATGTGTAAAACAGTTCCTGGCTCTAGCCAGCATCCTAGGACGCTAGGTTCTAACCTAGCGTCCTAGAATGTGAAGGTAAGGTGGGGCATAAAAAAAGCCCTAGTCACCCTAGAATTATTGTACTTAATAACAGGCATTTTTGGGGAAAATTCATCCATTGGAAGATTTATTTAAAATACGTAGGCTATAGTTTATGGGGTTTTACTTGAATAATACACTTCGTATTTACATAATATATAAATTTATAAACAATTTGTGCTCCTAGATTATATAAACCAAGTAAGCTCCTAGACTAGCTCCTAGCACAGTGAATATTCCAAATAGTCAAAGGTTTAATTTAGTCACTTTAGTTTTACACGATAGGCTAGGTCTAACTTTGAGGACCAAAATAGATAAAAAATATAAAAAAATAAACCTCCAATTAAAACAAAAAATAATTGACTCATTAGACTACAGTATTTGATTTTGGCTAAGTTTTAAAGCCTCAAAACCTTGTTAAAACCATCAAATTGATTTGCTTACCAGGCATTATCATCAAAACTGTTCTAACCTTCAATTTAGATGAATACTGAACAAAAAAAAAAACTGGGAGAGAATTTCACAATTTGAGACACAAAACTGGTTTACCGTATATCGAAACATAAATAGCTCTGGAAATCAGCTGACGACTCTAGTGAAACAAACCACCCAAGAAGAAAAAGGAACCCAAAGATGATGAAACAATAATATGTCATTCTGTAGAAAAGGACTCCTACGAAAGGAACAAAAAATTACAAGTAGGCCTATTGGTGCACTAGCTTAAGATATGTACTATTTAATGAGGCACTACACAATCGCCGAGCCCACAACGATGATGTTTCACATAGATCTTTAATAGTAGCCTAATCGGCCGCAACGATCATCATCGGGAGGGTTAGGTGGGTATTTTGAATCACCTTCAATTCTGATGGTTGCTGATTCTATCCTGGAAAAGTATTTAACCAGAAAAGCCATTGTCATTGGGACAATATTAACGGTGCTTTCTCACAAAAATTTACATTATTTACATTACATCACTTAGCTAAATATTTATAATTATTTCATAAGACAAATTGTATTATTTATGTATTTACTGATATGGCCAATGCATTACTGTAGACCTATATGACTTATTGGGAAATAACTAGGCTAAATTTTAGACATTTCCTTGAAAAATATGTGCAAATTTCTCCTTGTGCTAGATATAACAAAAAGAACAAACTAAGTAGGCCAATATGATACTTACAGACTGATCTGATATCCGTTTGCCGAATATGAGATACTCGTGTTTGACATCATCAGGGACAGCCGGGTCGGAGGATAGGCCTCGTTTGCGGACAGACACGTTAGACAGGCCGCCACCTCCCATAGGCACCCAGCCTCCCGTGCTGTCATCCCGCGTCATCACCTGAGCACGCACACGGACCAAGTAGTTCCCACTGTAACAAAACACAACAGACACATGTAGAAATGAGGACAGACACATTGGGCAGGTCACCCACCTCCCATATAAGCAATTGACCTCCCTTGTTGTCATCACCTCAGCAGCCTTTTTGGATTCAGCATAAAGGCACCATATAAAAGTCACAAATATGCTTGGAAAAATTTGGGTACCTGCTCAAACTATCCTACCATAACAAGTTCTGGAAATGGAGTGTAATTAATAGTTCATGAAATCTAATCTTAAAATACATATTTCTAATGTTGGGTACGTAATTATTGCAATGGTTAGTGATTGGGGTTAAATGTTGTTACCTTTAAAATTTTGAGGACAAAAGTGGTGTTTAGTTTTATGTATAACAGAGTTAATCAAAAGTATAAATCAAATAAATGCTCTCTTAAAAGCAATTTTTTCAACTAAGCCCTGCCATTCCCAGATTTTATGTCAAAATACTTTTAATACTTAATAGGCTACTTTTCGATGAAATGGCAACCATACAAAGTAGGTATTTTAAGCCAAGTATGACCAAGTATTATGATGATATAAATTAGGCCTACTGATTTCTGTCAAATGTTCTGACTTTTCAACCAAATCAAACTAATAGGAGACTTATTGTGTAGCCTATAGCTACTTTAATGCCACGTCAACAAAATTAGATACAATTTTTATTCATCATATGTTTGATGTTATTAATTTACACATAAACGGTGGCTCACAAGACAAAGGGGGTGTAAAGTAAATAAGCTTATCATAATATGTATGTACTTACCCCCTTTGTCTTGCAAGAACATTATGACATGTCAAAACACATAATACCTACCTTAAATGCAGAATCTTTTTTCAAATAAGTTAAATACATGATACCTAATGCTATATTAATTTAGAAAATCATCTAGGGAGTAAGGACCCAAGAGCATGAAATAGTCTTTAATTTTTTTTTAAGTTAATAGTATATTTCATCACTAGGGCCTAAAGTGACTCTTTTTAGCCCGAGGTCAACAACAATGGCCTAAAAGCTTACCTAATAAATCAATCAATAAATAATTTAGATCGATACCATTGCCACAATCGGAATTTACAACTGTTTACAACAACTGGTGTTTACTCCCTAGGGACTAAAAATGATTTTTACTCCCTAGAGAGTAAAAATGTTACTTTGGACCCGCAACGCATGCATTAAAAACGGCTGTTTTTGCTGCAGTATGACAAAAAATATTTTCTTCAGCTTTTAATTTGTCCTGGGAGGTTAATTTAAATTTTCCTATGCATGTAGGCCTACCTTAGTGATCCTTCATAAAGAACTGGTCTATGCACAGGATATTGAAGATCATTCTGTGTTTTGTGGTATCAATGAAAGACTAATTTTTTTATACAAATTCCACCTTTATCTCAGTATGATAACAGAAAATAAGATAGAAAATTAAATTTTAGACACTAGCGCATTTGATTTTTTTGGCGGCCCCTTTTAACCTTGCATTTGCCCGTCCACATAGACTACAGATCTGTGCGTGGAGCGTATCCAGCAAAGCAAGGGGTGAGCCGGTACAGTACAAAGGTGAACTGTACTGATAAAAGTTTGTGGCAGTAACCAGGATCCAAACCCACGACACTACTGCCTTGGGCCCGAAGTCCGTGACGCTACCAACTGAGCCACACTCACCTAAATTTTGAAATTTGAAATTTTGACCTATTTGACTATATGGCTCACATAACTATGTTTTTTTTATTGAAAAAAATTTGAGACAGCTGCCACAAATAGATAGGATGTCTACCTCAATATCAAAAAGTCAATGATAAAACCTAGCATCACCCTAGAACCTCACCCTTATACTTAGCTCTTAAACAACTGCTACTTCTACTAAGTAGCAAGGTTTAGTAAGTCAGAATCAGCCTCGTACAAACCGGAAAACAAAGAAAATGCTAAGCTTAGCGGCATTTAAGTTTTAATGAGACGTAGGAATTGGCTAACTCAGGAACTCGCTAACTCGGTCGTGTGTCGGAACTGGCTAACCATCTCAGTCAGGAATTGGCTAACTCCGGAACCCGCTAACTCGATTTTGTCTCGCGGCGGAATTCGCTAACTCTGGAAGTCGCTAACCCGGCCGCGCCCACTGCACGGAGCGTTGCCAACCTTGTACGACGAAATAATCGTACACTCTGCCGTATTTCAAAATGTCAGTGTCAATGAAGATACAGTAAATGTTATTGTTATTTGTTATCAATTCTAATTTTAACAGATAACTAGCCCAAAGTAATTCAAAGACAATAAAAAAATCATAAAAAAGTGTTTTTTTTTATTTAACTGTACAATGGCCAATTAAATGTTTATGATTTCGATCTTAAATATAAATGCCATCAGTATAAAAGAAAATAATAGAATATGAAAAATATTGAAAATTCAGTTTAATAGGTACTAAATAATTAAACCTCTACGAAATTAAGCTAAAATACACGCAAGTTCTCAAACACGGAAAACAAATTTAATCGTAATGTCGTAATAAACTAAAACTATTAATTAATACAGTCATCAAGAATCGTAACTTTCATAACTAATTCATAGATTTAAAATTAAATGTTCGTCGTTGAATCGTCCAACGTGTACAAATATGACATAGACTAAGGCCCCTATTACACGAGGTAGCCTGGCGACGTCGCCAGCAACCAAACTGGCTACTCAGCTTGTCATGGGGCATTGATTCTTATGGATGTTATTACACGAGGGTAGCCAGCGACGCAGCCACACTTTGGCGACCGACTGGCTACCGAGCCCCGTCGCCACTGCGGTAGCCACTGGCTACCCATATTGGCGACGCTGCGTTGTAGCATATGGAGCTTATTACACTAGGTCGCCAGTATCACGTCGCCACTCGGTCAGTTCATATCACGGGGGTACTTGCACACTGTTGTGTTGCGTTCTGTTGTGTTGTGAGTGTGTGAATCGTTCACTTCAGTTGATAAAATGTCTATATCATCCTTTATGACTCGAAGAAACTGGATTGTGACATACGAAAATAATTGAAACATTTTTTATTGTCCGCACAGAGCTCATCAAAAAGGGTGTAATATAACCCTTTTGATTCTCTTGCATTAAGCATTGGATGAACGTACATTTTTCTCTTCCTTTGCCTCCTTTTCTTCAGAAGTAACAGAAGGAGAAGATACTTATAATCACTCATTATTCACTGTAAACACCGCTCATAACAAGTACAAGTGCAAGACAAGCACTCACAACAACGGCGCCACGGCGGTAAAATTCTGGCTACTCAACTGGAGGTTTGGTGGCCAGTGCGTCGCCAGCTACTGGCGCTGGCGACGTCGCCAGGCTACCTCGTGTAATAGGGGCCTAAGTTTCATATCAATTTATAGAATAGCTGTAGAGGCCTAAATCTATTCCTAATAGTTTAAACCAAAGCATTGTAGGCCTACTAGTAAATAGTTGCCTAATTCTAAAATGTTTTGAATTGTTTAGTAATAATGTTACATGTTTTAAAACAGTTTTTAGATTGTACACCTAAGCATCACTAGTAAATAATAGGAGAAGATGTAATATTCATATAATAAATCGTGACAGGTTTATTTTAATTCACGTTGATAATTCGTTGATTCTTAATCAACGACATGACGGATTTTCCTGATTTGAGTGTTGGGTTTCCTTTATATTGCTTTCACAATCGAAATAAACTATACCAAGCCATTGCTCAATTCCCCGTTCCCCGGTACTGAACTACTCAATAGACAATAGCTTTGTTTTTGGATAAGATCAGGTAATTTTAGCTATGGCCACCATTCATAAAAATTATAACAAACAAGAACGACTGGGTCCATTTAGAACCATAAAAACTCCAGACTTTTAAAAGGTAGGCCTACTGAAAGACGTAAAATTAATATTAATAAAAACAATTTAAGAGGATGACCCGAGTTCTAACTAATAGCCTAAGATAACAGAAATTTACAAGTTGTATTTATGCATAGACAAATAAATTTGTAATGCAATCCATGAATACATTAGGCCTACCACTTTATAATGTCTTGATCAATATTTATTAAAATTCAATAGCTCTATTAAAAAAAAAATACATTACCACTACAATGTATTTATGTACAATGACGCTTAACGAGTAAATTTTACCATGATATATGATTCAAGGTTACAAGCCCAGTATATATAATACGAACTTAATAATTTTATTTGCAGAAGTTCACAAAATGGTATTTATTTGAATAAAAGAAACAAACGGTGAACTACGAAAATAGATATTTCATAACATGTAAAAGATCCAAATTAAATGTATAGTATTATCTTTTTGCATCCCAATAAGCTACTATTTAAGTAAGAAAACCACATATAAAACATACACCCTTATATTAGTGCATTTCTCATCCTTGTGGATCAGCTGAAGACAGTTTTATTGTTAGATCTAGAACGTTGAAAAACAGTCTTTAGACGGTAGAGTTAGAACGGCGCACTGTCTTTAGAGGTCGTGTTTTGTTTACAATTGTTTCTTGTTTTCAGTCATTTAAAACCTCGTTTAACCAAAGAAAACGTTCTAATCACAACTAATAACAGAACACGTCCCCTAGTTATATAACCAAACAGTAAAGAACAAATCATAAAGTTAACTATAAAATAATAGAAACACAATTTCGTCGACACTAGCGATCAGTGTCACCGGACATGAACTAGACACGAACAACGAGCTACAAAGTTTACAATGGGATGTAAAGTTTAATTGTGTTGGTTAGTCTATGGGAAGACTATAATGCATTTTCTACCCTAATAATCATGAGAATAATATTAAACATACTTCTGAATATATATTTATTTAATGACTACGTTGCTCTTAATCCTAATTATTCATAGGATACGACATTATGGTACCGATATAGGTACTACACTTTCGGCATCACTGGCTAAAAATCTTCGTGCTTGGCTCCCATTGGACGGCCCGCGAGGCTTCTGATTGGGAGTTAGCGAGTTCCGCCGAGGGACCGAGTTAGCGACTTCCGTACGAGGACGGAATTCGCTAACCCGGCTCTAGATCGGGTTAGCGGGTTCCGGAGTTAGCCAATTCCGAAACCGAACAAGTTAGTGAGTTCCTCTCATCGACCAAATTTGAAGATAGGGCGTTTAACATGGGGTTAGCGAGTTCCAGAGTTAGCCAATTCCGCGGACCCGTTTTAACTTGTCTCCCTCCCCTGTAGAGGTGTTCATATTGTCAATTTAATGCACAGTCCCATTGGTCTCTCATACTCATTCCTTATTCCCTAATATTGTAGAAATTTACCAAGCCAACCTATTAAATTTAATTGGACCAGTCACTTTTCTTAACAAAATCACTTTCTGTGTAATTGGAAAAATCTATATTATCAACTGCTAATTTAAAGGAAAGAAAACGAAAATCAGGATTATCTACTGACTTATTGAGTTAGACAATAGACAGTCTCCTTAATTTGTAATTTCGTTAAGAAATACAATGGCGTCACAAAAATCTAGAATGTCATTTAGATTGTTTGACAGCTTACATTTTCTTTGTATTGAAAGTTTATAATTGGTCAAAAATTCCTTAAAAGGGAGTACACCGGTCGCTGTTTGAGTTGGTTTCCTGTTGCATTCTTGAGGTTGTTTGAAAGAGAGTTGATGATTTTGCGGCCAATATAGAGGGTTTTCTGCTAAGGTATTGTGTAGTGTGGTGGCGGTAGGCTGTAGTCGGCCGCTCTTCTGGTGTGGTAGGAGTGAAAATTCTCATTTCTGGGAAGCTTCAGTTTTTTTGTGTACAGGACAACTCCATGGATGTAGAGTGCTGTCACTGTTAGGAGCTAAAGGGATTTAAATGCTCCCCTGCAGCTGTCTAAGAGCTCATGGCCGGAGAGTGTCCTGACGGGTTTTTTTCTGGAGCACCAGGACTTTACCAGGTTTGCCTCTGATGTTCCTCCCCATGATATTAAGCCATACCTTATCAGGTGATCCTATTACAGCATAGTATGCTGTCTTAGCCATTTTCAGACCTTCTATCCATTTCATCCTATTTGTTACATAGACCCCAGATGCAAGTTTCTTGGTCAGGTTGTGTATATGGTCGTTCCAGGAGAGGTCTTCATCAATTGTCAGGCCAAGCAGTTTTGAGTTTTTTCAACGGTTATTTCAGGAATTTCTTTGATTTGTTCACGTTTTCGGCTAAAATTTAACTGAGTTGTTTTTTATGGATTAATGGCCAGGTGATTTTGAAGGCAGTACTACAGTGCTTTGTCTGTTGAGGATAAGATGTTGGAGTGTAATTCTTGTGGTAAGTCATGCATAAATAGAAGAGTTGTGTCATCAGCGTACATTACCGTTTCACGATTGAAGTTTATGTTACAATTGAAATATGTTTGGATCCAGACTAATTTTTTGTCCTTAAATGCCTCAAAAACCTAATCCATAATATTTAGATTCAAACATGTGGAAGTTGAGGTTACCTCTGCTAAGGTCCTTGGTATCACTCTTGACACAAAGCTAACATGGGGCCCTCACATAGCAACTGTCTGCTGTAAGTTGTCTAAGGTTGTTTTTACAAACAAATCTCAAAGTTTGTGTTAGTAAAGAATACCTATCGAGGACCTACAGTAGGCTCCCTCTTATCCGGACTCCTCGGGACCGAGGCCAGTCCAGGTAACGGGTTTTCTGGTTAAACCGACGTCCCCAAAAACTCGTTAAAACGGACTGTCAACTGTGATATTCGACTTAAATTTAGGAGAGCATTGTATTTAGGCACGTGATCACTGGTCTCAAATCTTTCCCACGAGAACAGTCGTTTCAGTACTGCCTACTTCCTGCCGATCTAGTCCGGTTTAACCAATGTGCTGATGAAAATTGTCCGGTTAAAGAGATGCCTTTTCCGCCGAGTGTAGTCCGATTAAACTGATGTCCGGATAAGAGGGAGTCTACTGTATCTAGCTTTTTTTAGGCACTTTTTTGTATGGCGTCACACACTGGGGTGGAGCCACAGATACAAAAAATTTCTTTGGAATCCAAAGAAAGTCAATTTGGACTCTAGGCTGAATGCTGACTATGATGCTGGTTGCAAACCAATTTTTATTATGAGAAGGTATAATGACAGTATACAGTTAATATGATGTTGTTTCTTGAATGTTAAGAAAAAAATGGAACCTTGCATAGAAGAGGTGATAAATCATACTCGCAATATCAGGAACAGTGACAATTCCGTTTTTAAGATTAGATTTAAACACTACATATGTAACTCTGACCAACTGAGTTTCAAACTTTAAAATCCAATTATTTGTTCAGCCTTGAGCCAGACTTTTCCAAATTCAAAAATAACCTCTGGGATCTTCTATTGAAAAATCCACTCTTCTCTACCAATGATTTATTTACCGTAGGACCAAAGAATATTGCAAAAGTTGATTGTAGGCTATAATCTGACTTAAGTTTGATTTTGTCAGTTTGTCCATGGGTTTCGCCCTTGTCTTGTTTTGACTTTTCTCTCAGATTCACTTTTTGTGTCGGAGTGTTTTGTTGCTTGGATCATTTCAGACCGCCCCGCTTGTTATATTGCACTTCTTGCTTGTAGGCCTTAAGTTACATATTTAGATAAAGATAATTGTTGCAACGTCAGTGGCATATGGGGGGTTTAGGGGTTTGAACCCCTCCCCCTTAAACTTGAATTGTGATTGTTTTAACCCCCAGACCCCTTGGTGTAACCCCCCCTTTAGGGTCACCCTAAATACGCCTGTGGTTGACATATTCTATTGTACTTGTACTGTAGACTACGGTACTATGGGTCATTCCATGTCAAATCAACTGGGCTCTCAACCTGACCATCTTGGATTTTGATGAAATTTTGTACATTAACTTAGCAGGTATATAGGACCTACTAAAAAAATAACTTATGTTTAACTTAATAGTTTTTAAAATGTACGTATTAGGTAACTTATAAGTAACTAAGGCCTAAGTTAAATTTTTGGAAAAACTGTGTTTTTTGGCGTTCACGCCAATCTAAAATATTGTACCTAGGAAACACCTGGGTTGTAAATATAGGTATTATAATACATAAAATTAATAATTTATTTATCACTTTCATTACTTTTTTTACCTTTAGGCTACCAAGCTTAAAGTTGTAGCTGACAGTTTTTTCATCAAGTAAAAAAAAATGGCTCACTGTGGCTAGTAGGCTATTAGTTGTACCTATCTGAATAAAGATCTCCATAACTTACTTCAAATAAGGCATAGCCTATAATTTACAATGCGTTGAATCCTGATGTCAAGCCTAAGTAAGAACATAGGGAAATGAGCGCCTTAGGATTGGCTAGATGTAGGTTAGGTAAGTTATTTTGAACACAATTTGTAGGTTAATTAGGCCTAGTTCAATTTATGCCCAGGCCTTTGCCATTTTTTATTAAACTTAGGCTACGTTCATTGTTCTGAAAAGTTCATTTAAGTTAGGCCTAGACCTTAGTTATTTAGTTGATAAGGTTTTCTTAAAACTTATCAAGTTAAGTTAAGTTATTTAACTTGTAGACAAAATTGGTTTTGTCTTAAGCTGGTAACTTACCGGTAAGATAGGGCCTACCTAGTTAGTTTAAAATAAATGTATACAGAATAAACATCACACAATCCAATGGCCTAGACAAAATTGGTTTTGTCTTAAGCTGGTAACTTACCGGTAAGATAGGGCCTAGCCTACCTAGTTAGTTTAAAATAAATGTATACAGAGTAAACATCACACAATCCAATCATATGAATATAAGTTAGTGATGGTAATTCACACGGTGACTTCAGGAAAACCAGCCTCTTTACAACAAGAATTTGATTATCATCAGTTGAAAAACTTATTGTTTCAACAATGTAACTTAAACCCACTTAGGATAAGTTAAATGGGACAAAATAGACACATGATAACAAACATAGAAGGCCTAAATATTTAAAACTAAGTTAAGGGAGAATAATTTATTGTCCCTGCAACATAGTAATTGAGCTGCTTAGCCTAGGCCTAGATGCCTATTGGCTAAGCTTAAATATGAATTTTTGAACACAAGTTTATGAAAAACCATAGTTTAGTAATAAACCATAATAAAATGTACTGTGATTAAAAACGCTTTTGAAATATTCCTCATCAAAATACACAAGTTACATGTTTGAGTTTGGCATCTAGGCTCTGTCTTTACAGATGGCATTGCCTTTTAGGAGGTCACTTTACTTGCCAATCTTGATATCTAATAGCTGGTAGAACATAACTGTAGGTTAGTAAATAATAATTTAAATGTAATAAAACATTAATTTAACGATTAGCTGACTGACCCTTTAATATTAGGCATAGAAAGATATGCCTACCATGACCTAGCCCCAATTTTGTACCGAAGTATACGCCCATAATAACACTAATGGAAGATGGCCTAAATGTACGGTAGTTGTTGTACTTACTCTTCAAAATCTTCTGTCATTGTTCACACGGTGAAACAACCTACTTTTCCCCCATTTTGTTCCTTTTACCACCATTTTCGAAGCATATAAGATACATTAACCACGACTTGCACAGGCAGGAAGTAAGCCTGGACATGCGCGTTTAACTAACACTTACGTATGACGCATGACAAAGCTGTTCAAGGACTCAATGGGGAATGGCACAAAAAAATTCAGACCTCGATTCATAAAAAGCCTCAATTTAATAGTGATTAATGAAATGTTTTCATCAAAGGGAAATCGAACCTGATTACAACAAATGACATATCCACCATACTGAAGTTTATTTTTGCACATTTAGATAACTACAGAAAAGCTGAACAGTTGCATACTCTAATCACAATATTTCAGGAAAAGAGAACTTCAAAAGTGTTCATAGAGTATATATAAAAATGACAAATGGCAAATTACTTAATTACATTTTTGGTAGCACTTGGTCAGATAAAATTTAATTCCTTATTTGATTAGGCTTAGGCATAAATCAATATTTGTAATGAAAATGTACAGATTTTGTACTTTTAGATATTTATGAAAAGCATACTTGAACAATCGGTAGGAGTCAATAATCGTAGCTTACATTGAACAAATAATTATTTATGCTTTATTTTTGGTATCTGCTGGAAGTGGATCGACCCAAAGGTAAAGGATAATATGAAAGAAACATTACCATAGATAAAACAACGCACGATTATTTTCTGCATATTGTTTGAATGAAGTAACGTTAAGTGCGATGTACTGATGATAAATTAATTATCAATCATTCTCGCTGCTCTGGTTGCTTGAGGACATTTGGAATTGCAGGAGGATAACCAACTGTGTTGATATAGCAGCGAACACCTGAAAATATCAATCATGTCAATTATCAATCATCAATTAATTATCAATCGCATTGAGATGGGGACGCCGCATACTCTCAATCTAACTCTCACACTTACTAGTAGCATCTTTAATATTAACTTAGCATACGGTAGATCAACCAAGGGAGTATGTTTCATCAATGATAATCGTGACACCTGACAAATGAACAACAACAATAAATGGATGTCGATACAATAGTTTAAGGAGTCTATTCCAACTCCAACTATTCGAAGTCAATAATAACGAAACCAGGACCGCTTTTGTAGATTGGACTAGTGGGATTGGGCCCAGGGGTGCAAGAGGTTTTTTTGGTCGTTGGGACTTGGGAGGATAAGGAAAAGGACGATTCCCCAGTAAGGAATGGTTGTGATGGGGGGGGGGGGGGGTGGGTGGAAAAATGTTTATCGTGCCCATAGCTCATCGAAATGCAAAGCACGAGCCTCAACGAGACTCGGCCCTTTTTGATACTGACTGGGGAACAGAACAAGTTCATAAAATCCCTCAAATTCTGCTTAATGTTTTTTTTTTACTAATTAATAAATAAACATAACTTCGTTGTTTACTTTACCTGGCCAATTCCGACTACCTTGGGTAGAGAAGTTTGATTTACATTACCTAGTCCTGTAAACAGTATACCTTTGGAATCAACCACCGATTTATTTATTTTTAAATTGTTTTCACGCCCATAATTTATTAATTAATTGATAAAACTAGGCTTAGCTTTGTATTTATGTAGAAATAAGCAACCATTGAAATAAATTGTTTTATGTTTACGTTTACACGTTTTATTAGCTTTTATTGTCTCTTGCGATTTCGGCGCCATCGCTGCTCGTCTCTTGCGATCGCGTCAACGCCGGTGATCGGCCTTTCGGTGACGTTTCGGATGACCGGGCAATAATCGATAATATGTTGGGTGATAATCAACGCTCTGCTGTAGGTAGTGAGGTTACAATACACCGAGATCGCATTTTGGATTTTGATCATGATCAGTTATACTGATACTGACTTTAATAGCTAATTATCAATTGTTATTAGCAATATGTTATAATTTAATACATTAAGCCTGCAATGCACACCTTCAATAAATATTAAAATCTGTTTAAATATGAATGTAGTATGGCCTAGGGCCGCAGTGGTATTGTACAAAGACGCCACGCGATCGCTTGTAATGATGTCCCCTTGATCGCAGGAGATATTTGCAAATTTTCTGTGATTGCGGGTGACGATGATTATGTCTTAGTGATCGCCCGCGGGAGAGGTCCACCACGATTTTACCGTAATCGCGGGGAAGTTCCACCTAAAGGGAGAGGGGCCGCTTGGCGATTGGGTTAATTTGGCCGCGGCAAGTACCCTAAATCCCGCACTTGTGAGAAGTAGATGGTAAGTTTGGCCTCAGTTTGGCTTAAACTGAAAATTCCAGGAAATGCCCCTTTCGAGAACCCGGTTGTGGAACGCCCCTATGAGTCCTGTGTACTTTTGATACGACAGTGTTTTTTTTCTTTTTATAAATAACTTAGACTTAGATTGTAGCAAGATAAATTTACTTACAGAAGTTACGAGACTTTCATTTAAGATGAAAAATCCACTTGCAGTAAAAACCATTTCAACATGTAACAACTGCTTTGACAGCATTACCATCTAATAAAAAAAACAAATTTTTAAATGGTGCAATCAGAAATACAAATAAAAATAAATAGGAGACATTATGTATACGAAATTAAGCTTTTTCTGTATTAAAACCATATCTATGATCCAATAAACCCTAAGCGTACAGTAGTAACTAATGCTAACCAACGTATGTTTTTCTATGATAGTAATAAGCAAAAGATAATTTTGTGTTCTTACGAAAAAGTAAGGTTTCATAGCAGTTTAGCGCACCTCGCAACCACCGACATTGGAACTTTTCTCAGTAATTTGGCGGAAAGATGCTTAAAGTTTTACGGCTTCACTAATAATTACCTATTTACCTAACAATTCATTGCCAAATAATTAATTGTCGTACATTTACATATTTATTACATAACTTACTTTCCAAATTAATTTCATTACAGTTACAGAGAGTTACAGTATAACCAGGGGGCTTGAAATACTAGCAGAGCAGTATCAACTCAGTCAGGACTGCCAGTGGCCACTGGCCAGTGGTCAGTGATGACTGTAGGCTAATAGCATGTATTTATAACAAATTATTTTAAATTCCTGTTTATGTTTCGACCCTGCTTAAAAGGTTCACTAAAACAGTTAAATACCGTTGAACATAATTTGCTGAATTTCAAAAGATGTTTTTTGAAAAAGTAGAGTTGTGGACATCAGGGACTTTTTTATATAGATTTTTATAGTTAGAGATGGAGTGCGAGAACGGTCCTTAAATATGAAGATAAAGATAAAATTAGGGATACAATAACCTGTACTCTTCTCTAACTGTGCATGGTTCATGTTTTAGTTACCTACGTTCCTGAATCCTTTCGTGTTAAATTTCAGACTAATTCCAAAATGACCATAATCTAGAAACAAAATTAAATGGTCACAGCATTACAAAATAAACTAGTTGTTCTGCCAATGAAGTAGCAGCAGGCACCCTACAGTGTAGGGTGTAGGTAATTCATAATAGCCAATAACTAGCATGATATTGGTAAAAACTCAAATTAATTACTATGTATACAAGACCATTGTATGGGCCAGACCTGTAAATATAATGTAAATAATGTCTATAGACGAATAAATATCATTTCATTTCATTTCATCAATAAATATATGTCAACAAATCAAAATGACACAACTTAATGAAACAAAAACTTATAAAAGTAACAAATTTGACATTTCATCAATTAACATTATGTGATTTATGATAGGAAATAAAATTTTTGCATATTATGAGTTATTAACAAAACTTGTTTTTAGTATGACCCATACAGAGTAATCAAAGTCAAAACATTTTTTATTCATTATTTCACATTACATGAACTTGAATAAGAGTCATAAGCTAAATTCAAAATTGCTTACTGCTATAATTAAATACACAAAAAGAGTACTAAAATTACTTTACTTTTTACTTTTAACAAAACCATGACTTAAAGGATTACAGTATTTGGAATTCAAATTAAGTTAGGCCTAACTGTTTTTTACTAATACTAAAGAATTCTGTTACTGAGTATAGCAGGGAGTTCTTAAAAAATATTCTGTTAAGTCAAGAGCTGCTTGAATTTAATAAATTTTGTTTCTTTTCGGATGTGAGCTGGTATAGACTGGAGAAATTTTAGCCCAATGTAAGATGTCTTTTTAGTGTAAAATTGGAGATTATGCCGAGGTAGGTTAATTTGTAACTAGTGTACATGTTGCTCGAATTCGAGCAATTCCAAAGTATTACAGGAGTTATTTCAAAACGAATAACAATCATATTTACAATGAGTTTAAAAGAGTCAACTCAAAGATCACCGGTGTGTAACTCAAACCATGTTTATCTTCGTTATTGATAAACCTAAAGCATTCCGGCCGGTTTTCTCCTTCTCAAAATGCCTCGCTGTACAGGCAACACAGGTCATTGATAGAGGGCCAATTGAGAACGAAAAGTCATTTTGGGGTAGTGTTAGGGCGCATTTGTAACCTAATAGTTGAGATTGTCCAGGGTCAGGTGCTGACTTTAAGCCTACTACGCGCCACTGTTCTGTAGCTGCGGTCGTTATCACGATTGCGCCTCCTGTCTATGTTTCGTTGTCGTCACGTCGGAGGCATTTAAAAGAAAAAAAACAACAAATTATAGCTACACAAAACAATGATAAATGCAAAAACTTAAGTTACAATCATACTAACACGATCCATCTTGGGGGTTATGTTTACACAAACTCAAATAGTAAATAAATGTAAGCCATGCATTTCATAGGATTGAAAAATAAATAACAGCAATTAAATTATACAGCTGATCAAAATGTAAACAATTATGTTCTTCATAAGGATAACATGGGAACTTTAACAGCCACTGGGGCAAAGCCCAAGGGACTTTTTCAAAAATGTAAGGCCAGTTTGCAAATCTACGCGACACGCTCTTTCCAATGAGACGTCAACGGATACAATCGGTTAAGAAATGGCGGAGGAGTTCAACCGACAAAGTTTCATGTAGCGTATTAATTATATAGATCTGGTGTTATATAGCCTACTAATTGTTCTGTTGAGATGGATGATAGTTGGATCTGTTTTGCATAAATTATTGTTTCATAAATATAAAGACTATAAACTGTTAATATTTGTAATTCACGAAAGATGCTCTTGACTGGCTCTTTTAAGATTTTTCATCACCCTGATAGCTTTTTTCTGCTTAATTAGTACTTCATCTAGATTAGTTTTTGTTGTTGCCCCATATAGAACAATTCCATATGAAATATGTGAATGTATTAATGAGAAATAAACAACTCTTAGAGTGTCTAAACTGCATATTCTGAACATCTGTCGCAGAGC